CACATAAATTGATTTCAAACACTTTCAAACAACACCAGGATTTCAACCATTTGCATAATGGATTTCAAGCACTATCAAAGACGCCCTTATTATGAGGCAATGATTTAACACAGAAATGGAGTGCAAAGACTTCAGAAACAACACATAATAAACATCTGAAAACTAAGCTGCAGAATAGGAAGCAAAAACACATCATACCTAAACCTCTATGGTTTCAATGAATGGATTGAATTAAAATTACCTCAAGAATGATGTTCCAAGGTCTTGCAGGTTGACGCGTTCCTATATATGTAAAATGATCGTTTAGTTGCAATAATAGAAACAAAGAACAAAGACATAAACAAGGCAAATAACTCATATAATCAAACCTAGGAGGAAACATGGAGATGGTGCCTCATCCCATATCCCAAAAATTGAAAAAACAAATAGTGGTTGTTCGAGGTTTACTCTTTGGTAAGCTTTTACTTCTAGTTTACAAGTTTTAAGTCTTGAGTCTCGCTTTAGTTACTCGGGGTTAGGTTCTAGGTTTGGGTTAGAGTTTTTGTTTTTTTGGGAGTGGGTAGGAGGATATTGAGTTACAGTGCCTGCGGCTGAGTTTAATGGAAACATTGTTGGGAGGGGTGGAAGTACGGGGCAGGATAAGGGGCATGGACTTGGGGTGAAAAATTTTGGATCCATCACACTCTTGAATACATGGAATTTAAATTACCTGAAGAATAATTTTCCAAACTGTTGCAGGTTCAGCCCTACCTGCAGGTGAAAAATGACACAACCTGCATTTTTCCCTGTGAGAGTCGAAAGTTGTAAAAATTGTGTGAGACTTCTGCAGAAATAAAATGTTTCAAAATCTTGAAATCATATCCAATACAAATACTGAGTATGACTTGGCACTTGTAGCCGAGTATGACTTGACAGCCTTTATTTTAATACTTGGAAAATACTTATTTAGGATATATGAATATTCACCATAGATATTAGGTTCATGTAATAATTTGTCTATTTCCTCAGTCAACTTGAAACTTTTGGCTTTAACTTCAAAATTTAAATGATACCTCTCAAAAAAATTTTATCCCCTTGATAATCTTATTTATTCATTTGATTTCCCTCTTAATTTAAAATGTTTATTAATATTTCATCTATTATAAATTAATAGTTTGAGTTTAATTCTCCATGGAATTTAATAAAATAAAATTATATATTTGAAAATGATGTAAATAGAGTAATTACCGATACCAAAAAATATAGTTAAATAAAATTAAGTTTTTTAAATAATTAAAAGACCTAGGACTCCCATTTTTAATAAATTTTGAATAAAAAACGACAACTCAAAATACAAATTTGTTTTTTTACGTAGGAGCTGACCAGCCAATGGGGAGTAACGACGTGAAAATATAATATAGTTGGGAGCAAAGATTTAATTATCAAAACTGAGAGTATTTTCGTAAAAAGTCATATTTTGGGAGTATTCGTGTAAATTTTTCCAATTTTAAATGTAAATTGATAAAAGTATTTATTTTTCAAAATTGTCCTTCAATTCCCTACATGTCAACTCTTCTATCTCCAACCGCAACTTTGTCAAACAAAAAAGTTGACAGAGGGAATAACTTGCCTCAAACAAAATAATATGACATTGGTTGCAGGGGTGCATTAAACAAAAATTGTGAATAAGTACAAAAGTAATGAATATGACATTAACAGGATTTAAGCCAAATTTGTTTTGGGAGATATCCGACAAAAATAGGAAAACCAATACCGGTACATGGTGAATTTCCATTTTGTTGATCGGTGGAGGCGTTGAAATTTCCATTTTGTTGAAAGTACCGCCAAGCTCCAGCCAATAAAGAAGACTCGGCATGAGCCCTGTCATCAAATAGGAC